ACCAGCTCTGCTTAAACCATGACACCAAATTCACTTCATTCTGCGTGCCTAGTTTGAGTGCTATTTCCATTTTCCTTTCCACAGTATTGCCGTAATGATCACTTTCTAACCCCTTATTTTGGGCTTTCCATCAATCCTTCTTTGTTAGGTAATCTATAAACTGCTTTTTGTCTCTGTGTCAGAGTTTGGTTTTGTCTCTTTCTTATTATTATTTACTCTACTTACATTATTTGTTACTTGGAGATCAACTTTTACCTTAAAAAAATCATGATAGTGGCATTTCTTTCCCTCTTTTATGATCCTCTTGTACATGGGAGGATTTCCATTTGACATATAATATTAATGTAATTTCTTTAAATATATCCTCAAAACTCTTCTTATCTCTGATTTACAGAGCATTGCCAGTTAAGGGAATACAAAGTAGTACCAGTTTATCAGTCTTTCTTTGCCCATTTGTTATTTGTTTCATCATACACATAGGTTTTAGAGTCCTGTGGGGGAGGTAGAGTTTTAAATACTCCATTTATTCTGTGCTTTCAAAGTACCCAGCAAAATGACATATTTGGTATTGCAATTACAGGAGCAACTTTCTTAGATTTTGTAGGATTTTGATCCAGAGGGAGCATGTTAATCTTTGGAAGAAAAAAAGATGTTTTTACCAAAAAGCTTGGACTACCGTAACATTGCTGTTCATGTTCAGTATCTTGTTGATTTGTGCAAGAAGTTCATGTATTTCTTTCTCAATATCATGATCCATTCTCAAACAGGCTGTTGATAATACAGTATCATGTAATGTGCTGGAGAGCTTGTCCTTCAAAGGACATCTTCTTCAATTTCTATTGTGTTTACCATATTGTTAACTTTCAGTGAGAGCATTTGCTTACATTTCTCTCAAGGGAATACCCAACCATTATTTTCAGTCTCACTTTATTCTCCTTTTCCACCTTTTTGCAGAAACATTGGTGTATTCAGTGTTTCTGGAGACCATGGTGATTTTATAAGGACACAGAAAATCATTTTTCATTAAAAGGAAATGTGTAATCTCAAGTGTGTGAGGAAGCACACAACCTAACAGGACTGAGTGGAAAGAGATCCCTGCCACAAGATCACTTTATTTTTAATAGGCTTGCAAAGTCTGAAAAGAGAGTACTCCACTGCATGCAGACTTTAACCATGTCTGACTTCAGAAGTAGTTTGTAGTAGTTTAAACCACAGACGTTATAATTTGAGGGTTACTATTTTCTGAAAAACCACTAACATTGCAGTCTGTGGTTGCACTTCCTAGATAAAATTTAGTATTGCCACCTGATCCTTGTGTGGAAACAGAAGAATTTTCCTATAAAATTGCAAACCATCATACGGCTTCCTTGCTATTTTTTGTTGTTTTTTTTTCTTTTATACTGACTAGAGTTCTCTGATATATCCCGTACACTGTTTCTTAATTTTGGTTTTCCTGCAGGTACATATATTGTGATTACATGGTTGTGATTCCTAACATATGGTTGAATATGATTTGTCAACTGAGTAATTGAATAACTTTATTTTTCATTAGGTATTCTAATCTTCTAACTGATGTCCAGTGCATGTATATAAAGCCCCGTAATTTTGTGACTGCAATGTAGTACTCCAGCCTCTGATCAGATAGTTGAAAAGTAAAATAAAATTTAAAAAAAGGTTACACCTCAAGTGCCTTTTGTGGAGTGTTCTTCCTCAGCTTCTTATAGCAAAATGGACTTTCCCATTTTCTTGAATCTTAAAATAGCACTAAGAGCCTCAAATATGCTGTACCCTCTTTACCTAAAGATGAAATAATGGCCAATTTTTACCTCTGCAACCAAAATCTAAGTTAGGATAAAATCAAAAGGTACATATAGCAGTAAAGAGCAAAGAAAGAGATGAAAGATTGAAGAAAGTGCATATGCTGATAGGATGTACATGCAGCTAAGCCTTTGTTAAACACTAGTCATAGGTAATATCAGTTTAAATAAACTTTGTATCAGTTGATAATTTGCTGTAATGACTGACAGAAATAGTGTGAAGACAGACTATGACTTTGAGAACTTATAGGAGAGCACTTCATGAAAGCCAGCCATCCAGCCAGTATTCAATCCACCAAAAAGTACCTCCATCCAAGCCATGAGCAGCCAGTTTCTCAAGGAGAATACTTTGTGAAATGGTGTCAAAGGCTTTACTAAAGCTCTGTTTGCTGTGTTCACTTAAAATTAAACTTAGTATGTGGTATGGCAGTTGTTCTCACTCAAATTTTGAGTCATCCACTGTGTCATTAAAAGATCTATGTAAGACTAAAGAAAGCACAGGGATTAAAGAAACTGGAATAGCTGTTCCATATTCTAGCTATTTCCAGAACCTTTGGGAGTAGGTATTTGCTTTTTGAAATATTAGTATTTTGGGATATCCACTGATTCAGGATTATTCATATTTTTCTGAACTGCTGACTTCTGGGAATATATAGAAAAGCTAACATTTTATATAGGAAAGCTAACATTTATGCACTAGAGTTGAGGCACTGAAAAGCAACGAGGGACTTGGCTTGAATTCTTAAATCTTCCTTTTTTGGAAGATCTAGGGAAGCTAAGAGGATCCTTGGATCTCCTTATTATAAAACTCTTACTTTATAAATACTATGACAAAGGGGGAAGGGGGAGAACGTAAAAAGTTAAGGTAACATCTTTATCTAATAGTGTAGAAGTAACCAGTAATTTTTTGTTCCTTCTGGGGAACTAGATGATCTTAAGGTCCTTTCCAACCCTAACTATTTTATGATTCTATGTTAGAAAATAACTTATTTTTTAGATTAACTTGTTGCTCTTGAAATAACAAACAGTAAAAGCTAGTATGATTATGATATGCTTCACTTCAACAGGATGTTGTACAACTTTGCTTTCACTGTTACCCATAACTATATTCTTCAGAGAATTAATACTGGTCTAAATTTTGGGAACGTGCCACTGTAAATGGAAAAGAATTCTTTGCAATTTTCTGTTTTCTGGTTTAATACTGGTGTAATCAAACAGTCTTCCATAAAAGTATCACTAGTGTTTTTTGGTTTGTTTTGTTTTTTCTTAATAGACTTGTAGAGTTTAATTGTATTTTTTGTTTAGACTTCTACTCACATAGTGTTTCAAGTAACACGATAGCAAGGGAAGTTAACATACTTTAATTGCTTGTAAGTATTTTCTTGATGATATATTTTCTACATACTAAGATATAGCACCTTATTAATTCTGTAATTTGTTTTAAGGGTTTAATGGGGTAGATAATGGGCTTTTTTTCCATTCTAAGACAGTATTTTGGTACCTTTTGACAAATAAAACTGCCATGAGAATATAATTATGAAAAAAGCGTATTTCTATAATATCTATCTTTCTGCTACTTTTTCTGTTAGTGTGAAAGAGATCTTTGTCTCAGGAATTTATTTATTTTTTGTAAACTGAATTAAAATCAAAAAGAATGATCATCACTTTTCACAACTGTGTTTTTCGTATTTGCTGTATTGCAGACCAGAAGGGGCTATATTGTTACACATTTGAAATTTGGGATTTTAGACTTTTTCTGTTTTAAAAAATGGCAGAAGTGTAGTTTTGCAGAAACTATTCAGTTTAGGCTGAAGAGGAGTAAATAGCTAAAGGTAAGAAATAACACTTCCCACTGAAACACTTCCACTGAACAGTCATTAAGAAAAAATGTGGTTTGGTCCAATTCATTTTGTACACTAACAGCATATGGTAAGATGCTGCTCTGTATGTACAGATGAATTATATAACTTCAGAAATATCTTCTACTTCTAAAGCCTTACAATTCCACCTTTCTCTGGAGTGAATCCACTCAATACAATTGAGTTCCTAAAAAAAAATACTTTCTGCAAAGAAGACAGAATTTTAAAGCGTGAAGAATGCATACCTCAGCATTTTGACATTCTGTATTTAAAGAAGGTGTCGCTATAGCTTGACAAACGTTTCTTAAATCAGTAAATAAAGCAAAAAAATGTTGTCATTCTATCTCACAAACACTTGTAAAGTTATATATTTCTCCTTTAACTTCTGCTTTAAATTGAGTACTTTAAGTAGTGCAGCAAAATAATTGATTTCTTCTAAGCTGGACAGTGCATGTATAAGGTAGACTCAGTCATTTTGACAGGACCCTGAAAGCCTGTGAACAATTAAATTTGAAAGAAAAGTTAAGCTATCCTTGATTTTTATCTTTTTTTTACTGACATGGTGAAAAATGAGGTTAAATTTTACTTTCTGTGTACGAACTGTGTTGCTTAGAAGGCATTATTCTTGTTTAATATTTAGTTAATAATGGATGATGGATCATACCTGGTAGTGCAGCATATAGCAAAAGGAAGACTTTGAACTTGGTTTAGATCTTTGGTCCTTGGCCAGAAGAGATTGCAGGGTGGGAAGGAAGGAAGGGGTTAAAAAAAATGGGGAAAAAATGTTAAAAAGAAAGAATAGGGCAACCTGCCACACTTTCACAAATCTAAATTACAGATTTGTGTCATAAAATGTGTCTTTCTTACTCTGCAGTCAGGAAAACCTGTAGATACATTTTTGCATTGCCTACTAGTAACAGAGTATTAATGTCTAATCAGCAAACAGTAATAGGGAAGATGGTTCATGTATATTTACCTTTAATTTTTAAAAAGTTTTGATGTGAAAAAAAACATGTGTGCGAATAATTACGCTAGAAACCCTAGTGAATGTTTTCACTTAGTTCCATTTGCTGTCCTCCAAATCCTCCCTCAGAGCATCTGCAATACATCTTTAAAGTGATTATTTTGCTCTTCTCAGGCCTTTTAATTATTGAAGTACTGAATTTAAAATATATTTTTAAAGATATCACATACCTTTAGGATAACTGTCATTGAGAAAGGAGTGTGTTCATGGTACAATTTCAACAGGAAGGAAATGGATGACCTGTTATTACATATGTGAAATACTTTTAATATTTACTCTTACATATTTCCTTTCAAAAAGGAAATTGTCAAGGAAGCACTAATGGAGGAGCAAAAACGAAATGAAAAGGCAGTTGAAGAAGCAGTGAAAAGGACAAGACAGGAACTGATGGAATATATTAAAGAGCAGAAAAGGGTGAGTTACCACTGGCTGTGGGCTTCACTTCATGCATTGAGAAACAGATAAAGCTTATTAATCCTTACTGTCTTAAAATGCACAAGAAAGGACTTCAGTATCAATAACAGATGCTATTTGATGTTCACAGGTTACCTTTGTGTGCAGTTTGCATGCACAAAAGGTCATTAACAATCCTCTCAACTCATATGGCAGCCTGAAAATGTTATGGTATTCTCTTGAGCATCGTTTATAACCAGTGCATGGTTCCTGTTACAAAATGTTGCAATGTTCTGAAGCTCAGTTTCAGGTATTTCGTTAATGCTGTATACTTGCAGTTTAATGATTATGTATCAACAGTAAAATGAAACTTAAAAAAGACAGTTTAATTTGGTTCCAGAGAGCAAGTAGGAGCCTCCCCTTCAAGGCTCTTTATAAAAAGAAAACAAACAAAAACCCCTCTTTCAAACTGTAAGATCAAATTCAGTGATTTAAGTATTCTCAATAAATAAAATCACTAAGCTTGAACCTAATTAGTAATGTCCTGGAAGGGAGAAGGAAGAAGAGATAATGTTCGGCCTCTTGTGTGCCCTGCTTTTGTGGGCTATATATGGTATTATAGGAAGTATGATTTATCTTCAGATGTTGCACTCTACTACTAGTTAAAATTAGTATTGGATGAGCTCTCTCTTCCATTATGCTGTGAATGGAGAAGCTTCCATTTACTAGTATGGGTCTTACTGACAAAGACATTTAAACAGACATCCAGGGCAAAAAAGAATCCATAACGATGTTTGAGTTTGTTTAGACCTGAAGCTGGTCATTTGCAGAGGATAACCTGTGGGGAAACTGAAAATGGGTTTTCTATTAAATTAGCTTGTATCATAAATAGGACCACTAATGCATATCATCTAGTCCATCTAATGCAGAATCCTTACTGTTGACAGCTACATCACACCAATTTGACTTGACAGCAATTTAGTGCAGGGACTTCAATAGCAGCTGTGGGTCCTTAATCTCTTAGATTTCCATTTTCATTAGAAATGGAGACTTTGTTTCATTTTCTTTCCATCTACACGTAGTTGGAGCTCAGTGTCATTATTCCCTTGTCTGACTACTGTTAATCTGCCTTTTGCTTGTGAAGTTTTTACAAATCAGTGAAACAATGAGAATGTCATCTTCAAAGAAACAAAATCCTCATCGGATTATGTATAAGGAGCATAATTTTCATTCATTTTGTAGAGTTCTTGAATATCAGCATATTTCAGTCAATTTCTTGCCCTTACTGATCAACTGACACATTTCTCCAGAGAAAATGTATCACAGCATGTCCAGAAATTATCTTTATTAATTGTGTGAAGGTACATTTGACCATATAGTGATATGTCAGCAGGAGATGAACCCAAGGAATATTTTTTCTCCCAAAGGATATCTGGAGAGCAGTTGCTCAAAGAACCTGCTTGTCTAAGCTCCTAACATGGGACAACAGATCATTTAAATGTTATGAATTTCAAGCTGCTGTTGTATTTGTGTCGTGGTTCAAACCCAGCCAGACAGCTTGTTCGCTCTCTCCCCCCCTTCTTGCCCTCCCCCTACTCCCAGAGGGACGAAGAGGAGAATCAAAAAGAATGCAACTCCCACGGGTTGAGATAAGAACAGTTTAGAACTAAGGTGTAACACAAATCACTGCTGCTGCCACCACTAATAATAATGATAAAGGAAATAACATGGGAAGAGAATGCAACACCTCAGCACCAGCCGACCGATAACTCGCCCCCCCCAGCCCGACTGAGCACCGACCAGTACCTCCTCCAATCCTGCAGTCTTAGCTCTTCTGGGTAACTCTCCCTTACATCCTGGGCATGACATGCTGTGGTATGGTCAGTTTGGGTCAGGTGTCCTGTCTCTGGTACCTCCAAGCTTCCCTCCTACCTGGCAGAGCATGAAGCTCACAAAGTCCTTGGCCAAACCAAAACATCATTGTTATCAGCTCTTTTCCCAGGCTGAAAGTCAAAACACAGCACTGCACCAGCTACCAAGAAGAAGAAAAATGACTACTACTGCTAAACCCAGGACAATTTGTTTGTCAGAGGAGATATCTATATAGACTAAAATGCCACCCAGAGAATTCAGGCTGGGTTTTAGTTCCTCCTGATATCTACCACTTTCAGTTGCATGAGAGAATTCAAGAATATCACTGTCATACTTGCTTCCTACTTGTTTTGTGTTTGCCTGCCTCTCTGCCAGTGGCTATCTCAGAGTATGGTCTCACAACTTCTGAAATACCTGCCTCATCAGTGAAGATGTAGAGCCAGGTTCTATATTGTGCAACAGTTAGCCATTCTTTTGGCTCATGCTGAACTGAAGGATGTAAGACAGTTCACCTTCCCGTCTCCTGTTCTTCCTTCACTTTTGTTCAGCAAGTGAAAACTAGGCAAACTGAGAGACATAGCATAGTGTTTTGAGTTGTTTTCACAAATGCACTTAAATTTCTGTCACCTTAGGAGCTAGTTACAAATAGATATGAAACTTTCAGACAGAAATGTCATTTTTCATGTTGACAGTGTCATTTTAAATTGTCCAGAAACTAAGTAAGGCTGAATAGTAATAGTAAAACCCAAAATATTTCCAGGTGTCTTATAAAAATTCTAATGATCAAAGCAGTTAATTGGACACTACTGCACTTCAAACTAAGATCTGTTTCTAATTATTTGTTAGAAAGGTCAGGAAATTCTTTGCTCTACGTCCTATTTTTTTTTTCAAACACAACATTCAGTCTCCTTCTACATAATCTGAACTATATTAATCAGTTACATGTTGCCTGCTACACTGTACACTGCTCTCATTGACTTTGAAGGGCATATTTTAGCCAACTGGGGAAAGCTTGTGTGCTAGGACTTGATTAATAATTTGAATGACAGACTTGTTTTCATTCCCTGAAAGACACAGACACTTGTTGCAAATGCACTGCCCTCCTGATTTCAGGGACAGAAGCTGGGAGAAGATATAAGCAATGTAATGAAATCCACTGTACTACAATGTGTTCCCATATGATTTGTGCAGCTGTGTCTCATAACCTTTAGAAGAAAGCGTAACTAACCATTGCATTTCTCTGACTAATATTTACCAATACTGCACACATCAGAGTTGCGAATATCCAAATGAGATTTTTGGGGGGTTTAGTATTTAATAGATCATTTTTTCCAGTATTGTGGAAACTAAGGACAACAGTATTTTATTTCAATTTAAGAATCACTGGCAAGCTGGTATGAGCCATTTCGTCTTACTGTAACATGAAGAAAAATTTGGCAAGTTTCTCTTCTGGCTTTGTATAAAGAAATTATTCCTTTAGTTTGCTAATAATACAATTAAATTAGGAGACTAGAATTCCAGCCCATTTCTTGCTTCCCTGACCAGGTGTTTTCTGAGCAGTTTTGTCCAGCTGGTGAGATGTGTGGGAGGTTACCTGTACAAGGTCTTGGTATCTGCTCAGACAGTCAGCATAGCTATTTACCATGTAGCTAGAAGAACTGGAAATATTTTAGCTCTTTTCTGAAAAATACTTGGAATATTTGGAAAATACTAGAACTTACCCTAATAACACCCATTCCTGGAGGGTCAGCTCATCTTGGTCTGTACCTTAAAGTACAAGTCATACATTTTCCCAGTTTCAGTACAGTAGAAGATAAATAAGATGCCTGCCTGGTAGCTGAAACTGTCTGTGATTGTCAAAAGTAATCTGAAAACAATGTTATTACCAGAAAGCACCTTCAAATCATAACCCTGTTACTGCAACATTGCGTACCAGTATCTGTTTAAATTCTCTCTAGAATTCCTTCTGTTTTTCGTGAATACACTGCATTCAAGTTGGGAATGTGCTGCTCCAGCTATTAGTTTTTCCCCCTCTCTTTTCTGAGACTTCAGCAGTAGCCTTCTGTACTGTCATAATGTATATGTTGCTAGTGTGAATAGGAAGGACACTGGCTTGTGTTACAGATTGGTGACTGTCGTTTATCGATCTGTTTGTGTTAAGTCACTTGCAAAATCACTCGTCAACTCAGGGAATTTTTTTTAATTCTTGAAGGTAAAACTTATACCCTTGAGAGTTAGACAGTTACAATCAGAATTTTGATATGTTACTGGTTTGCAAGTGTGCTTGATTTCAAGCGTCAAGCACAGCTTTCCTCTGAAGGTTTATTATTTGACGGCAAGTGCAAGTGGGAGAGGTTATGAAAATCAGTTTCTTTTAAGTTATTAATCCAAATAAGTGATTTTTTTTTAATATTGCTATATTTTAATATGACTTAAAACAAAATAGGGTGTCATTACCATTCTTGTTCCTGAATGTTTGGCTTGGCATTTGATGCAAGGCCTCAATTGCAGGCTGACGTGCCAGCAGCTGAAGCTGAAAACAAGACTGCGGTGGGCAAACTGGAGATTTAATTTCAGAAAGAGTGTTTATATTTTCCCTGGGGCCACATTAATGAGAGTCCAAACCCTAAATGTTACCACCAACACATTTTAACAGACCAGTTTCCCAGTTTTTAACGTGCGGTGTCACCTTGAGTGTTTTTTCTTTTAACTTTTTCCTCTTCTTCTGACTTTAAAAGAAAAGCAATAAGGCTGTATCATTTTGGCTGAATTTAATGTCATGTTTGGGGAACATAAAGTTCTGTGTAATGCAACAAAGTCACATTGAAAAACATTTAATCCTGTCTTTTATTTCTATATCAACTATTTTAATAATTCAGCTTTAAATTACCATGAAAAACTTCATGTCACTACAAAACACATCACAATCTGTTATGTTCGTATGTGATACAGGGGTCCACATATTGATGTCCTGAATCAGCCTGATGTCGGAACATCTGTGCCATGCCTAGGATGAACTTGTGACCAACAGGTCACTGCCAAGAGAGACAGTAGTGATGGGGTCACTCAGAGTTCCTTAGCTCAGTTTCCTGCTCCTTCAGCTGGGTCTGTTTTATGGCTTTAATAGGATTAAAGAAACATTTACATTG